ATTGTGACACATCTATACATTAGAGTACTACTCAGTGGTAAAAAACAATGACATCTTGAATTATGCACGCAAATGGATGGAATTTGAAAACACTATCCTGAGTTAGATAAAAGACCCAAATACATGAATATTGTATGTACTCACACATCAGTGGATACTAGCCATAAACAAAGGACTTTGAGCCTATAGTTCATGATCCTAGAGAAGCTAAGTAATACGGTGAAGCCAAAGAAAAACATATATAGATTCACCTGAAAATTGGAAGCAGACAAGATCGCCTGACAAAATTTGGGGTATGGAGGTGGGGGGGGTAGTAGAAGAAAGAGGGAAGAGGGGAGAAGAGGAGAGCTTGAGGGAATGGAGATGGAGGAAGGACAGATATGAGAACAAGGAAAGAGATATCCTGATTGAGGAAGCTATTTTGGGGTTAGCAAGAAATCTGGCTCTAGAAATACTCCCAGGAATCCACAAGGATGACCCCACCTAAGACTCTAAGCAATAGAGGAGAGGGTGCCTGAACTGGCCTTGCCCTGTAGTCAGACTGATGATTATCTTAAATATCACCATAGAACATTCATCCAGTAACTGATGGAAACGAGACAGAGACCCCCATCGGAGCACTGGAACCTGGAAACAACCTAGATGTCCATCAATGGAAGAATGGATGAAGAAAGTGTGGAATATATACACATTAGAGTACTACTCAGCGGTAAAAAACAATGACTTCTCAAATTTTGCATGCAAATGGATGGAAATAGAAAATACTATCCTGAGTGAGGTAACCCAGACCCAAAAAGATGAACATGGGATGTACTCACTCATAATTGGTTTCTAGCCATAAATAAAGGTCAGTGAGTCTATAATTGGATATCCTAAAGAAGCTAAATAAGAAGGTGAACCCAAAGAAAATCATATAGCTATCCTCTTGGGTAGGGGAAGTAGACAAGATTGCCAGGCAAAAATCAGGATCTTAAGGGTGGGGGGAGGGGGGTAAGGGGAGAAGGGGAGAGATAAGGTAGAAGGGTAGGATGGGGAGAACTTGGGGCAACGGGATGATTGGGATAAAGGAAGGTTGGATAGGGGAGCAGGGAATAGATGGATGGAAATAGAAAACACTATCCTGAGTGAGGTTACCCAGACCCAAAAAGATGAATATGGGATGTACTCACTCATAATTGGTTTCTAGCCATAAACAAGGGGCACGGAGTCTACAATTGGTGATCCCAAAGAAGCTAAGTAAGAAGGTGAACCAAAGGAAAAACATATAGTTGTCCTCTTGGCTATGGGAAGTAGACAAAATAGCCGGGGAGAAAATTGAGATCTTGGGGGTGGGGTGGGATGTGGGTAAAGGGAGATGGGGAGAGAAAAGGGAGAAGGGGAGAATGGGGGGAACTTGGGGAAAAAGGAGGATTGGGATAAAGGAAGGTTGGATAGGGGAGCACGGAAGCACAATTCTTAGTTAAGGGATCCACCTTAGAGTTGGCAAGAGACTTGAACCTAGAGTGGCTCCCAGATACCCAAGCCGAGGTCCCCAGTTAGTTCCTTGGGCAGCTGAGGATAGGGAACCTGAAATGACCCTATCCTATAGCAATACTGACGAATATCTTGCATATCATCATAGAACCTTCATCTGGTGATGGATGGAGATAGAGACAGAGACCCACACAGGAGCACTGGACTGAGCTCCCAAGGTCCAATGAGGAGCAGAAGAAGGGAGAACATGAGTAAAGAAGTCGGGACCACGAGGGGTGCATCCACCCACTGAGACAGTGGAGCTGATCTATTGGGAGTTTACCAAGACCAGCTGGACTGTGACTGAAAAAGCATGGGATAAAACTGGACTCTCTGAGCATGGCGAACAATGAGGGCTGATGAGAAGCCAAGGACAAAGGCATGAAGTTTTGAACCTATGTAATGTGCTGGCTTTGTGGGAGCCTAGCCAGTTTGGATGTTCATCTTCCTAGTAATGGACGGAGAGGGGAGGACCTAGGACTTACCACAGGGCAGGGAACCCTGACTGCTCTTTGGACTGGAGAGGGAGGGGGAGAGGAGTGGGGGGTGAGGGAGAAGGGTGGGAGGAGGGGGAGAAGGGTGGGAGGAGGGAGAGGGAAATGGGAGGCTGGGAGGAGGTGGAAACTTGTTTTTTTTTCTCCTTTTCTCAATAAAAAAATGGAAAAAAAAGATTGGAGGGTGTGGGAAAGAAAATCTGTGGAGGGAGTAGGAGGGGAGTGGGAATTTCGATTGGTATTTTTTAAGTAATAAAATAAAATAATAATAATAATAAAATTTACAGGCAATTGTATCAGCTAAAAAAAATCTTCAATGAGGCAAGGTAATGAAGACTCAAATGATAATCACAACATCTTTTTTCTTAAATGTGGATGTATCTTTTTAAGCCTTTGATATCTATGCTAATCATAGTGGTTAGATACCTAGAAGGGGACTAGGTAGGATTAGAGGGTCTCCCAAGTAGGAGAAATAGGACATGAACTTATATCATAAAATTATGGTGGTACACAATAGTGCAATTCTGATTGGATTTAAGACCCACTCGTGAGACAGAACCCAATGCTGACACTTCCCAGGTGTCTAAGAAACAAACTAAAAAGGCAATAGACAAGGGAAAAGCCCATATTCTGAAAAAGGAGTGTAGCAATAAAATAACTCTTAATTAAATTCTATTATACTTATAGAGAGATGCCTAACCAAGTGCAACTAGACAGATATTGGAGTCAGATTTGATAGATGACTTGAATGCACTGAATTCCGGACTCAATAGGACTGATGTACATATGAACTGACCAAAACTATGACAGAACATAGAAGAGCTACACAGGCTCTGACAGAGGGAAAGTGGGCATGAGGTCACAACATTGATTGATCAAGAAGCTCTCTGTTCTAGGGATCACTTATGTTGGGGACAGACTGGAGGTGTGGATGGATGCCATGGCCCAGGACACCATCACAGCAAAGGCCTTCTCTACTTAGCTGGCTAGGTAGCCTTGCTCATGTAGTTTAGGGAACTAGAGCTTGGTTCAAGTTCTGGTGGCTGCTGAGGAGTCTGAGCTGGAACACTAATTGACAGCCTTCATTCAGCCACCAAAAATGCAATGTCCCTCTGTAATTAGTGAACTTTCTTGAGAGTTTGTTCCGGACCAGGCATTTGCAGAGCACCTCGTCACCCAAGCCCCCCTTGTCCAAATCCACTAAAATGGCTTTATCTTAAAAAAGATGAAAAAGAAAAAATAATAAAAGCTCACTGTAACTTCTTTGAAAGAAAAATAGCTTTTTCCAATTGAGTCTCATTAACTTAACTTTAGAATAGGTCCCCAGCCCCAAGCATAGTGTAGCCCATTAACACAAACAGAACTGAATAGCATTTCTGTAGATGTTTTTCTCCAATGGATGCTGAGTTTATGTATTTTTTGTCTTACTGATGTCCTTTTGGGTTTTTTTTTTTTTTTTGCAGAGAAAAAGGCTGGGGATGATCTAGGAAAAACTGTGATAGGAATATAGTTCACGAAAATAACTTAATAAAAAGAAAATAATCCTCAAACAAAACATTTATCTAGGCACGTATTTGTGGTCCTATCTGACCTTCCTAAATAAACATTAATATGGTTATTTTCACTTACGATACATATTCTATCCATTCTCTTTGAAGCTGAAAACTTAAGACTATTCTTAATTAAGAATTTACTCTGTATTAAAATGTTATAAAATGGTAGTCATTTTATACATCTATATTAAGACACATTGTTTTCATAAAAGAAATAAAAGACCTAGGTAATTGTAGACTTGCAGAAAATATCACCTTCTGATGTAACCCAGAAAAATCATAATGCATGAAAAGGAAGCAAAATATCAAGAAAACGAGAAGCAATATGATAAAGAACCATTTTCTATAATTAATTGAACTTCCGGTTTAACTTTTCATGACGGTGAGGCACATCAGCTCCTGGCACACCAAGCTACTCCCAAGGGTAATGGGCATTGAAGAGGCTCCTATTGGAGTTGGTTAGCCATTTGGGTAAAAAACTACTCTTGGATGGACTGCTTAACTGGACATGCAGGATCCACAGAGAAATGACTGCTCAACTTGCCTAAAGGTGAGACGATTCTTCGGAGTTCCTGCTACATGAAAGAGCCTGCAGAACACAGAAGAAAGTGACTGACAAACTGCCAATCCAGGCAGACCTACCTTTGAAATTTCCTGCTTTACAGAAAAGTCTGCCAGATATTATGGGCCTGTAGGTTGAAGATGGATGCCCCAGTGGTACAGAAGAACTTTGGGTTATTGTCCAGGCAGTGAGATGTCTCTGTCAATTCTAGAATTTTGCAAGTTGCTTATACTGCACTTCCTGTTTACTTAGGTAATATTGTATCTTTCTGGAGTCTTTGATGGAGTTGAGGAATAAATGGTTATAATTACAGTTTTCCCTTAGATATTATAAAAGATAAAGTAGATATAAATATTGTAACTATTATTTTTTGCTTGATACCTGCTTTGTTATATGTAATTTTACTATGCTAAATTTAAAGCTTTCCTTTTTATTTACACAGAAAAGGGGAAATGATGTTGGAGGTCCTTCTGCCTTGCTTAATGAATAAAGAAAACTGGCTTGGCCTGACAGTGTAGAATAGAGGTAGGTGGGGAAACCTACACTGAATGCTGGGAGAAAGAAGGGCGGAGAGGCCATGGAGCTGCAGCATGCCGAAACTTTGCTGGTAAGCCACTGCCATGTAGCGATATACAGATTAATAGAGATGGGTTAAATTAAGATTTAAGAGTTAGCAAATAAGAAGACAGAGCTAGTGGGACAAGCAGTGGTTTAAATAATGTAGTTTCTGTGTGATTATTTTGGGTTAAAGCTAGCCAGGCAGCCAGGAATGAACAAGCGGCCCCTCCTCCAACAACTAGTAAAGATTTTATTGACACTTCTGCAAAAACAAAAAGAAAAAAATATACAACAACAACAACAACAAATATTGGCACTTACTTATGTGGGCATCCTTGGCAAATCTTCTGATCAGCAAAGGATCCTCCAAGGACATTACTTATCATGGTTGGATGTCCTAAAGCTTTAAAAGCTTCATCTAAACTATCCACCAAAGAATTAAAAAACTCTAATGCATCATGTTGTTCATGAAGATTAATAGGTTCACCCCAAAGCCTGTTAACAAATACATAGGTTAATCAATACAAGAAAGTACCAGATGCATTTAATTTCTGTAAAACAAATAAAAATAACAATGTAAGCTGAAAGAAATAATTAAAAACAAAATATAAGCTGAAACTCTATACCTATAGAAGAGACAAAAGAAACCAAGTGCATACTGCACTTAAGTAGTCATGATACTGCATTCAACCAATTACAACAGAAATTGGGTATAAGGCTAGAGAGATGGCCTAGGAGTTGACATGTGGTTTTCTACCAAAGCTAATGAGTTATAACCAAAGAAGTTTTGTTCCTGTAGCAGATGGGAACTAACAAAGATCCACATGTGGAGAATGTGCAGAGATTAAAGAGACACTGGAATACTCGGTTCCAAATGGGATATCTTCATCAAATCCCCTCCCTCAGGTCTCATAGAATTCAGGAGAGGGGATATAAAGATTCTAAGAGCTTCTCTGATGATAGCTGAGTAAAACACTGATCTGTGAGAACATCAAAATGCCATTAGTGGTTATTTTACTACTACATCAGTTAGAACAGTAGGATTTAGTTTTCACCTTGGCCTATAACTTACACAGTCTTAAGTTCTTAGCCACCAGACCTATCTCCTATAGTGGGCCTTATAGAGGATATGAATGTCACAAAGGAAACAATGTTCAAGACATAACATAAACATTACTGATGCACATATGAACTCACAGAGAGGGACTCAAGTCAGATCAGTCCCAGGGCTCATGAGAGAAAGTGGACATGATCCCTTAACCCAGAACCAATCTCCAACTGACAACTGCTTGTAAAGGAAAAAATATCCCCTATGTGGAGTATACAAACCACACTTAAGGGAGACTCCATGCCCAGCAGCAGACAGCCAATAGAAAACAAATTCAATAGAATTTAAAAAATAACTTTACCCCCTTTTAATTTGCCTATTTGATTTTTAAAGAGAAAGAGGAGGCATGGACTTGGATGGATAGGTAATATCTGGAAGAAGGGAAACCATGATCAGAATATGTATGAAAAACTATTTCCACATATATTTTTTCCTGTCTGTTCTCCGAGACTCAATCCCTGAGACTCATCCCTAGACCTTCAACAAAACACCAACTACAGACTGTCCCCCCACCACCCACATATTCATTGCTGGGAGGAATGCAAGCTGGTACAACCCCTTTGGATATCAGTGTGGCGATTTCTCAGAAAATTAGGAAACAATCTTCCTCAAGACCCAGCAACACCACTTTTGGGTATATATCCAAAGGATGCTCAATCGTGCCACAAGAACATGTGCCTAACTATGTTCATAGCAGCTTTGTTTGTCATAGCCAGAACCTGGAAACAACCTAAATGCCACTCGACTGAAGAATGGATAAGGAAAATGTGGCACAGTTACACAATGGGGTACTACATAGTAGAAAAAAATAACAACATCTTGAATTTTGCAGGAAAATTGATGGAGCTAGAAAACATTATTTTGAGTGAGGTAATCCAGACACAGAAAGACAATTATTACATGTACTCACTCATAGGTGGTTTTTAAACATAAAAAAGAGAAAGTCAGCCTACAAACTACAACCCAGAGAACTTAGACAACAATGAGGATACTAAGAGAGACTTACATATATCTAATCTACATGGGAAGTAGAAAGTAAAAAAGGACAAGATCTCCTGAGTAAATTGGAGCATGGGGACCTTGGGGGAGGGTTGAAGATGGAGGGGAGCAGAGAAAAATGTAGAGCTCAATAAATATCAATAAAAAAATTTAATTACTAGAATAGAATTAAAATGAATATACAGCATACCTAAACTTATGGGATATATGAAACTGGTTCTAAGAAAATTCAAAATAAAAAACTTGAAAGATCTAGAAACTTAGAAACACACCTGAAAGTTCCAGAACAAAAATAACCAATCATACCAAAGAATAGACAGCAAAAAAAATAATTAATCTGAGGGTTGAAATCAGTAAAATTTAAACAGAAAATACAAAGAATCAACTGAATAAAGAACTGGTTCTTTGAGAAAAATCAGGAAAATATATAAACGCTTACAGAAAAATATCCAAATTTACAAAATTAGAGATGGAAAGGGAGACGTAACAACAGATACTGAAGAAATCCAGAAAATTTTAAGGACATACATTTAAAAACATGTACTCCACCAAATTGAAAATTTTAAAAGAAACATGAATTTTCTAGATAGACACTACTTACTAAATTTAAATCAAGATCAGATGAACAATGTAAAGAGACCTAAAACCTCTAAGCAAATAGAGCCATCATGAAAAGTCACCCTCCTCCTGAAGCCCCAGGACCAAATGTTTTAGTGTAGAATTTCAACAGACTACATGGGTCTGCACAACATCTTATGTGTGTACATTATACAGCTGTTTCTTTGAGACAGGGTTTCTCTGTATAATAGTTCTGGCTGTTCTGGAACTTGCTTTGTAGATCAGGCTGGCCTCAATCTTGCAGAGATCTGACTGCCACTGTGTCCTGAGGGTTGGAACTACAGGCGTGTGCCACCATGCCCATCTTTTAGCTTAATATTTTTATGAGACTCCTGACTATGAGAATGAGTGGGTATCTGACTATTTTGCCCGCTCTTGGAGCCTCTTTTCTTTTGTTGAGTTATGTCAAACTTTGATACAATAGTATTTACTTCATCTTATGTTTTATTTTTGCAATGTGGGGTTATTATGTTTTAAAAGTCTGTTCTTTTCTAATAAGAGACAGAAAGGAGGTGGGTCCAGAGGTTAGAATCCATGACTACCATGGAGGAAGAATGGCAATGGAAGACAGGCACGGTGTTGAAACCCCAGAGTTTATATCTTGACTGAACAACCATGAGATAGAGAAAGCTAATCGGGAACGGTATGAGCTTTCGAAAATTTTATGTATCATTTTTTGGGGGGTGTCAAAATCCAACAAGCTTAATAGCACACATTAATTTCTGGGTCTCCCATTGTATTTATTATTGGTTCTTTACAAATTTTCACTGTTGGAATGTCTTACTAACTTTGAAAGAAGTCTGAAAAATGGAAAACATGAGTATTTAAGCTTTTAAAAAAGCTTTTCCTGAGATTTCTTTTTTCTTTTTCCCCTCAAATTAAATGGAAGTATGCCAATATATAGATACACAAACAAAAGTACTGGCTGTTTGGCAGAGGTTCAATATGAGGAATTACTTGATATTTCAACAAAAACCTTTAACTCCAATCCCAGGGAATCAACCCTTTGTAGGCTTCTGTTGGCAATGCAGGCATGTGGTTCATAAACATATTTTAAGGCAAACCACTCATTTACATAATAAAAATAAAGGGGAGGGAGAGAAGGGCATATCGACCTTTTCATATACTTATGAAAAAACCTGTGGAAGTCTGTTATCAGTCTTTTAAAGTGACCAGGAATCAAATGCTTTAAGAAATATATAAACAGAGATAACTAGATTATTTAAAGAATACATTTGATTTAATATACATGTTTATCTTTAAAGTCACTAATCAAGCTCATGAACAAATTCTGTACACTTCTAAGATTGCTTATAGTAAGTACTACACCTTCAGTGGGTGATGGTGAAATATACTTTTAACCCCAGCACTTGGAAATCATGGAAAGGAAGATCATTCTTGAGTTCTAGGACAACATAACCCTGTATCAAAAGACAAAACCACAATACCCGGCACAAGAAGCCCTCTTTTGAGTTATCGGCTAGAGCTGCCCAAAAGACTCTCCCAAGCATACAATGTATTGCTACTGCCTTTGGTTACTTCCATAAGTAGTAACTAAGTCTCTACTGTTGTAGACTCCATGCACCTCAAAAACAGGACCCAGTGCTGTAACTGACCTGAATGATCTCTCTTTGAGGACCAGCTTTTATGAGCCAAAAAGCCCACAAAGCTTACAAAATCCTACACAAAGATAATGATGGCTATGAACAACATTAAGGAGAAATATGACATGGTAACCCTATGGTGCAGTAGTGTTACACAACTTGGTGGTAATAAAAAACTCTCCTAATTGTACTTAAGACCAGAAGAGAGAAACCATGTCCAGTGTTGGAAATATAGCTTATTCAGTGCTAATCAAATCACGGTTATAAGAGAATCTAAAATCTCTAGTTTAGCACAAAATACTTAGCAACAATCTATAATCATTTGTGTTTATACTCACAAAAAATGTAGTCTTCACTCCTCATCAAGAAAATTTCTCTTTACAACAGAGATCCCTACGTAATGGTAGAAGCAACATTCCATCCTGAGTGAGTTAACCCAGACCCAGGAAGATGATCATGGTAGTACTCACTCATAAGGGATACTAACTGTAAAGCAAAGGATAATGAGCATATATATCGTTCCCAGAGAAGCTAAGAGACAAGATGAACCCTAAGAGAAACATATATAGATTCCCTTGGAAAAAGGGAAATAGACAAATCTCCTGAGAAAATTGGAAGAATAGGGGTGGGAGGAGAAGGAAAGGCAAAACAGGAGGAATGGAGAAGGGGAGGGGAGAACTCAAGGAAATGGGATAATCAAGATGGGGGAAGGACAGAGAAGGAGAGCAAGAAAGGAGGTATCTTGATTTAGGGAGCCACTATGGGGCTAGCAAGAAACCTGGCACTAGAGAAATTCCTAGGATCCACAAGGATGACCCGAATCAATGGTGGAAAGGTGAATGAACTGGCTTTGCCCTGTAGCCAGATTGATGACTATCTTAAATGTAACCATAGAACCTTCATTCATCAACTGACGGAAGCATAGGCAGAGCACCACAGTGCAGTACTGCTCTGAGCTCCCAAATTCCAGTTGAAGAGTAGGAGGAGGAGTAAGAATATGAGCAAAGAGGTCAAGACCATGATGGGGACACCCACTGAAACAGTGTACCTGACTTAATAGGAGCTCACCAACTCTGGCCAGATAGGGAAGGAACTAGCATAGGACTAAACTAGACCCTCCGAATGTGGGTGATAGTTGAATGACTGAGACAGACTGCCAGGCTACTGGCATTAGGATTTCTCTCTACTTTATGTATTGACTAGGAGACCTTGCTCAACCTAGATATAACAGGGAGGGCTTTGCTCCTTCCTCAGAGCAATGTGTTTACCCTCTTTGAGGAGCAGATGGGGGTGGAATGGGGGTAGGGTGGAAGGATGGGAGGAGGAGAGGGAAAGAGAACTGGGATTGGTATGTGAAATGAAAAAAAGATAGTTTTGTTTTTCTTTTTAATTAAAAAAGAAAACAAAAAGCATTCAAAGTATAGAATTGTGAAGTCCAGTCCCATGGGATACATGATGTGGCATTCCCCTTCTATACGCTGTGATTATGTCTTTCATTACTATTGGCTAATAAAGAAGCTGCTTTGGCATATGGCAGGGCAGAATATAGCCAAGCTGGAAAAGATATAAAGAAGAGAGTAGGCAGAGTCAAAGAGATGCCACGTCATTGCCAAAGGAGAAAGACTCCAGAACTGTACTGGTAAATCACAGTCTTGTGGTGATACACAGATTAATAGAAATGGGCTAATTTAAGATATATGAGCTAGCTAGAAATATGCCTAAGCTATTGGCCAAAGAGTGTTTTAATTTAATTAATATAGTTTCTGTGTGATTATTTGGGTCTGGGCAGCCAGGAAACCAACAAGCAGTCTCCATTTACAGATACACCTACAAAACAGTTGCAGAAATGGTTCAGGGAGCACTGCAGAAAAAAGTTACTACCTTTTGCAACGAATTTTCAAGAACCAAAAGATCAGAAAGTTTGATAAGAGAATTTGCCTCCTAGTAATATCAGAAACCACATCCATGAAGTCTTATCAATGAGAATGTCAAAATATGAACTGAACAAAGACACCAATTAACATGCCAAACTAGACAGCCCATAAGGTCTCAAGTCTACACAAAGCAGCAAAAAGCAACTAAGGATTGCTCTCAGGTATGAGAAATAGTCTCAGAGAAGAACAACAACATCTGTTGTTGACTACCAAATGGCAAATTTTGAAAACAAACATAGGCAGTAACATAGAAAATGTGGTCACGAATTTCAAAGGTGGGAGAGGTATAGGGGCGTTGAAAGGAAGGAAAGTAAAGGGGAAAATGCTTTAATTTATATTAAAATCCAAAACAATAAAAGAGGAACCTGATGCCTTTGCAGAAGATCTGGGTTTGGATGCTAGCAACAACATGGTGGTTTATAACCACCTGTAACATCCAGTTCTGAGGAACTGATTCTATCTTCTGGCCTACATAGGCACCAGCACACATGGGAGGCAAAACACTAATATACATAAAATCAAAATAAAATCTTTAAAAATAATACTATTATAATACTTTTATCATTTGAATTTTGATACAAAAGCACACTAAAACATATTGTATGTCTAGAATATGAATAGTATGAATGGATAGTTATGGCACTGCTAGTATCAATATCATAAAAAGGTATGTGGGAGGCCACAAATATATTTTACTCAATTAAAAATATCTTATATTTTAATACATTTTAATACATATTATTATAAAAGGCAATCCATAGTTTTATAGAAATATATATGTTTTGTTTTCTTCCTCAGTTGTAATATGTACAATTATTCAGTGGGATACTACTGTTATCATGCAAATAATACATAACTTAGTGGTAGAGTACTTTTGGAGAAATCTGAAAATTGGAGTAATATGGAAGAACAAAATTAGAAATAGTGCCTAGAAAAGTAAACCTTTTGGCACATCTGGGGATAAAATAGCAAAAAGAAATAGCAGAAACAGGTAAGAACAAAGCATAGCTTAAAGTACAGAATCAAACAATGTGGTATTGCATATAAATATCATTATGATCTACAACAGCATGATGTGGGTGGGAAGTCTTGTAAATATGTTGCTTTTATTGGTTAATAAAGGTGTTTGGCCAGTGGCTTGGCAGAATAGAGCTATACAGAAAAACTAAACTGAATGCTAGGAGAAAGAAAGAGAGTCAAAGAGATGCCATGCAGTTGCCACCAGGGACAGATATGCTGGAACCCTGAAGGTAAGCCACAGCCACATGGCAGATACATGGGTTGTAATAAAAATGGGTTAATTTAAGATGTAAGAATTACCCAGAAATATGCTTAAGCTATTGGCCAAACACTATTACAAATAATATAGTTTCTGAATGATTGATTATTTTGTGTTCTGGGCAGCCGGGAACAAATGAGCGACGACTGACTACAGTAGCGGTTCATCTGAATGGAATTAAATTTATACTGAAACACACAAATTGAGTCATTGTACTATAAATATCCAACTGTAAAGGAAAAATAAAATGACACATTAAAAGAACTTGCAGTAAGTAGAACAGAAATAAGTGGTCACAAGTTAGAAGAGCCCTGTTCCAAATAATCTTTAAATAGACAGTGAAGTGCCTGGATAAAAGAACTTTACATTCTTATTGTTCTGGCTAGTTTTGTGGTCAGCTTGACCCAAGCTGGTTTATTTTAGAAGAGGAACTTCAACTGAGAAAAAGATCCTACGAGACTAGCCTATGGAGCATTTTCTTAATTGATGACTGACTCTATATATTTGGTGCCACCTCTGGGATGGCTGCATCGGTATATGAGGAACACATGAAGAGCAAGACATAGGAACGCATGAAGAGCAAGACATATTTCAGATTCTTGCATTCATGTTACTGCCCAGACTCCTCAGCACTGGAATATGATCGAGAGTTATAAGAAGCAAAGTTTTCCTCCTCAAATTGTTTATGGTGTTTTATCAAAGCAATAGAAACCCAAATTAAGATACTTCTTAAATATTAGAGCTCTTTTCCTAAAAAGGAAAAAGAAATGTAATGTAACTTACACATAAAAAGTGAGGGAACTAATGTCAAAATTAAAAACACTTCAAAAAAAGGGCAAAGAACAAATCCTAAACTCAAAAAATATTAAAAATGAAAAACAGCACTTATATGTAATGAACCCGAAAGTATGCTTCTTAAAATTCATATGGAAAAAAAAATAAACAAAATAATGAGTAGTGAAATGTTTACTGATAGTAAAAACATTTTATTTACATACAATGATGGATGACAATCATGCTTAAAGGCGTTGGTGGTTCTCGCCTTTAATTCCAGAACGTGGAATGCAGAGGTAGGCAGATCTCTCCGAGTTCAATGCCAGTTTGATTTACAGAGCTGGTTCAAGGACAGGCTCCAAAGCTACACAGAGAAACTGTCTCAGTAAACCAAAAAGAAAAATTTGAAAACTTGGCATGGTTGCAGTATTGAATGTTAGTGTGCGCCAGACAAATTCTTGTCTAAAAAGTAAACAAACCAAAGACAAACAAGAAAACACACCAAAAAGGAAATTCTCATCCATAATCTTACAAACACAGAGACTGATGATGAAATAAGCTTGATATTTGCTTTAGTTGAAAAGTATTGGTTTCAAATAACTATAAACTATAAATTTCATTTTATGAATTAGAAAATAAAAGCAAGATAAGACAAAAGTACAAGAGTTCTATAGTTTGAAGAATAGGGATTATTTGTTATCTCAATTTTTATACTTACTATTCGTGACAATAGAATAAGAAAAAAACAGAGTAAAAATGACATCTGGAAAACTACCATTATTTAAACATTACAACAAATATCCCAATCTTTATCTTTAAAAGCATAACTAAATTATATAAAAACATAAATAAAATTCACACATAATTTACCTGAATTGTTGCCAGAATCCTCTGGGCACATAGTATTGTAGTTGAGAAGAAGCTAAATGTCCAAAGATTATCTGAAGGTGTTTTAAAACACCAATGTTGTACTCTTTTCTATCTTCTACTTTACTTAATGTGGGTTTGTCTTCAAACTGATGAGGATATCCAAATATATCTCTGGGATCAACATGACTCTAGGGATTAGCAAAAACACAAAATAATAATGAGCTAACCTACATTTTCAAATACAACAAAATAAGTTTAAATAGAAACTACGTAGGGAATACATTAGTAGTGTCTTAACATTACATTGAATTTCCTGTTTGTAAAACACATTTCAATTTATACGATTATTTATTTCCAGGTGGGCTGTTATGAACCATTTTAGATGTAATAAAATACAATTGGGGAAATGGTATAGTGGGTAAGATAACTTGATGTTACCAGTACAAAGTGAATATAGCTGGATATGCCTTGTAATCCCAGCACTAGGAGGCAGAGAAAGGTAGACCAGACCATGACAACTCTCTTGTTATTTTAAATAGCAGAACTAATAAAATTTCTACTTAGTGAAAATTCCTGACTTAAGGGAGCAACGTAAAGTGAGATAGAGGAAGAAACTTTTCATCGTCTGGCTTCTGCATGTGCATGCATAGCAATCCACCCCACCAGAACACACAGAGTTACTAAAAAAATAATAACATTGATTAACAGTCTAAATTTTAGTCAATTAGACTAGAAAGGAAACAAATGAACAAGCGCAGATTATAAAATCTATAGTATTCAGTATCATCTTAAGGAAGCAATACTTTATCTGTGCTTTATATTTCTATGACATGAGAACTACTAACACCTAATATTAGAATATTTAAGAGGAACCCACCACAATTGTTCTAAATGATATAGTCCCTTTGTAGTTATGTGGGCAGAATTCAGTGGTTATACAACTTAGCTGTTTATTGGAAAACTAAGCATCTTTTTATATGCTTTGTCCTGCACCTAAAGTTCATAATATAAAGGAGTATTCATAATCTTGGTAGAGAAGAAAGCATACAAGCAGGCAATATATGGTAGTACAGACAACATGAAACACAACATAACAAATCACAAAAGTGAAACATTTAATTTCAATTTTTATATATTGTTTGTATCATTTACTTGTAGTTAGCATAATTAGATATCTTTATCAGCACTGAATCAACAATCTAGAAGTAGCATGATCTACTAGAATCTCGAAGTTCAAATGGCCATGTATAACCCAAATCCAAAAGAGAAAACATACACAGGTCTCTTATTAGGTAAAATAACCATGCTTTTTCTTCTGCAGAAGACACAGGTTTGGTTCTCAGTACCCAAAGGGCGGATAATAATAGTCTATCACTGAAGTTCAGAGAATCTAATATACTCTTATCGTTTTTGCAGGCACTGTGGTACATTCATGTGGCACGCACGCACACACGCATGCACGCGCGCGCGCGCGCGCACACACACACACACACACACAGAGATTATATGTATGTACACACACATACATGCAGGAAAAACTCAAATACACAAAATAAAAGTTTAATAGAACAAAAATCAAAACAAACACCAAAACACAAAACAAAAACCTATCCTAAAATCATGTGACAGAGCACCCATTTGGAAACATAAATGGACTCAGATAGAAAAAAAAATCTGAGTAGAAAGAACAAGGCTAGAGATTGTCAATTCCAGATTTTAAGATTTATTACCTCTCTACAGAAATAAAAACAAATGGTACTGGCATAAAACAGATACGATGGCATATAAGCAAGCAAGAGTCAAATGAATATACATAACTCCATCAATTTAATCTCTGACAAAGATGTAAAAACACACAGTGAAGAAAAAAAAGTGCTTAAAAATCGGGATGTCCCCATGAAGAATCATAAAATCAGGCCTGTACACCTATCATCCTGCACAAAAATAACTCCACATGGACCTAATTTTACCTTGAAACCTGTTAACACTGAACGGAAACACTGGTAATACCTTACATATATAGATAAAGAAATGATTTGATTTTCTGCTTATGATTTTCCAAGAATTAAGGCCAATAATTGACAAGTGGGACTTCATAAAATGAAAAAAAGCTTCTACACAGCTAAAAAAACAATCAAGACAACAACAAAAAATGGTAAAAAGGAACCCACAGAATGGGAAACTTTGCCAGCTGTACATCTGATACAGAATATTCAAATATATACAGGCATCCCTCAAAAAAGTCAAGGAAACAAATGATACAGATATGGGCTATGCATATGAGTAGAATCCCAAAAGACACAAAAAATGGGTAAGAAGTATCTAAAAACAGACAAACCAAGCAACTGACAAACAAAAAAATTACAACCATTCAATAGTCTTAGGAATTATGGAAATACGGAATCCTAACAATGTTGAAACTTCATCTGACATCAGTCAGAATGGCAAAAATCAACAAAATGATCAAAAATTAAAGATGAACAAGATGTAGAAAAGGGGGCATATTCCTTTATTGTTGGCAGGCTTACAAATTGGTCCAGCCACTCTGGAAATCAGTATGGAGAAACCTCAAAAAGTTAAAAATAAATTTAACATGCAATCCAGTTTTCTGTGCCAAATGCCCAAAGAACAATACCCTGCTCCATTAATTTCTACTCTCCTGATGATAGCCAGAAAATGGAAACAACATTTAACCAACAAATAGCTAATTAAAATATGAGACGTATACTATAAAATACTATTCAGCTGTACGAAAACCTAAAATGTAATCAGCAGATAGACATCATATTGATTGACTTAACCTAGACTCAAAAAGACAAAGGCTACACATTCTCTCAACTGGGGTTCCTTGCTGCAAATTGTCAGATGTGAGTAAGTTACTGCAAGTAATGCAGAAACCAGAAAAAGTAAAAGCTGTAAGAATATTTTTAATAAGTGTGTGTATAGTTTATGTTAAGTTATGCTCAATTTGACCTGGCAATGCTCTTCACAAGAGCTATATATACTAGCAAAATCCCAGAAAGTCATGAGACAATCCCTTTTGAGTTGTCCAGGATGCTCAAGAGACTCTCAAAAACAATTTGGGCTACTGCTGTTTCCCTTGGTTGTCTCCCAGAGTTTGAGTGTATGTCTTTATTGCATAAGAAAACATATGGAGGGTCCAACCTGGATTGGGCCTGGAAGCCTAATTGATAAGTACACTAGTTTTCATAGAAAGGAAGGGAAACAATCAAATCGAGCTGTTTTGACTATGAACCACAACAAAAACCAGTGTGACTAGACACCCGTAAAGGTGAAATATCAGCACTGACAACAGGTGTAAGCCATAGCTCTCCACTTGGACTTAACCAATTAACAGGAGGCAAATCATGCCTGGTACTGGAAACCCAGCTTAACTACTTGGTGCTAATTAGATCATGGATCTTAATAAAGAATTTACTACTGACACATTAATAAGCCAGTGTATCTCAAAATTGAGTTCTAAATATTTTTCCTTATACCTTCATCAAAGAAAGGTGGTGGTGGGAGAAAATAGGAAATGATAATTATATTTTAATAAAAGCGTAAACAGAATCATGCTAGTTATAAATATTTTTATTATAACTTAACTTCTGTCCACTTTTGCTTCATTTGAGTACATTCAGTGGGTACTGTGTAATATTTCATTTGTATTTTAATAAAGTTTAGAGAGTAAAATAGCTGCACCGATCATGCTTATACACCAGCTCTCACAGTATTTTGAGGATTCTTGGAGGCAGGATTGCCATTTCAGACTGAGGTAAAGGTAAGAGCCAGTTGGCTGGTTGTTCTGCTTTTCTGACCTTCAGGTTGAACCCCAATTTCTGTTTCTGCGTTTTTAATAATCATGCAACAAGGTACTGATTATCTGCTAATGTTTGTTAATGTTATCAGTGAATTATATAGTATTGCTGAAGAAACAGCTCTGTTCCATCAAAAGGAACTAAGATTTGATTAAAACACTAAGGGAACGCTATGAAAAAGGATAGTTTATAAAAAAAAATAGCAGGAAAGCTTTACAATAGATTGGGTACACAGTAAGGATAATTGCCGAAAATAGTTAAAAACTAATTATACTTAAGACATCACAGAAAACAGGAATACATCAACTGTATTTGTTTGAGGGAAGAACATAAAACAAGTAAAATTTTCTATTGTACTTTCCAATCTGTAGTATATAATGGGGTATTATAATACCCTAGACGCACCAAATCAGACATTATTCTACCACCAGCATCAAAGACAGTAGAGGATACTATTAAAAGTATAACAACCTGAGAGAGAACTGGGAATACCTGGTTTTAGGATTTGGAAAAATAATACAAAAAGTGACTGAAACTTACCTTACTGTCCTGCTTTTCATCCTTGAATGTATCATCATTTATATTACTCCCTATGTTTTCAATTGAAAGAATACTATTCCTGATAAGAGGAATCATGTATAGTTGCTGGATCACTGAGTTCATATAACAAGTAGCACCAGCATTTTTGAGTCCCACAAATCCTTTTGGTGGGCGCGGTCCAACAGGTGGTAGATATTCCCACTCAGTAAGTGCTTCACAAGCTGAGAGAAGAAAATAAAATGTTTACAGCAAGAAAGTGATGCTTCTAATTTACAACTCTTTTAGGCTAAGAAATTACTATTAGGAACTTTTTATTTTAAAGCACAAGATTTGGAATACTAAAATTTTCCTTTAGCAATGAGTCAAACTGATTTCATAATTTTATTGACATTACTTCTATATTTCTTAGAAATATTAGTATAAGATAGGATTGCATATTATTTAATATTTTAATAATTTAGTGTTATATAATAAATTTATACTGCATAACACTAATTAGGACTATATACTAAATTTCTGTAATTTAGTAAGACAATAATTTAAAGAATAAACATTAAAAATAGTTTGTACTTTTAAAAATTAGTATGCTCACAGAATGGTTTTGGTGCACACCTTTAATCCCAGCACTCAGGAGGCAGAGGCAGGTGGATCTTTGTGAGTTTGAGGCCAGCCTACTCTACAAATTTAGTTCCAAAATAGCCTCAAAAGCTACAAAGAAACTCTGTCTCAAAATACCAAACAAAAACAGACCAAACAAACCAAACCGAAACCAAACAAAACACACCCCAAACCAACCTTAGTATGGTCAATTTAGTATGAACAGAACTATACAGAAACAGTCCAAACGTCTTAGTTTTAAATATAAAATCACTTACCTTCAAGCCACAGTTCTACTCATAAAAAAAAAGGTTCTTCCACATAAATATTTACTGTTCCTCATAATAAAGTGAAAAATTTATTTTGCTCTCTGGAGTAGTGGCCCTAAACATTCCCAATGCTGATACCCTTTATTTAGTTCAGTGGTAACTGCCTCAACTATTTCATTGCTGTGTCATAGTGTGATTTTGCTATGCTTGTGAATTTTAAGTATCTGTGTTTTCTGGCAGTTTTATGAAACCTCTGGAAAAGGAGCATTTGATCCATAATGGGGTCCTGACCCACAGGTTGAGAACCACTGGTTTAGATCTAGCTTTATAACAAGGGAAGTAGATAGTAAAACTGAAATTACTGTGAGAACTATTATTTTATATGTCCAATACTTAGCAAAAATCCAAAAGCAATTTAAAAATCATCAAAAATCTGTAAATTACAAAAATTAAAATATATTAAATTGAAATTCATACCATTAATAGTTATAATCAGACCTCTAGCTGAGCTTATGCACACCTTTAATTTCAATACCTGGGCAGAGGCATATTGAGCTCTATGAGTTCAAGGTCAACATGGCCTATTAGTAAGTACCAGGCCTACTTAGACCCTGTCTCAAGAAAAACACCAACAAAACAAACCAACAAGAATCAGACATCAAGATGCTGCTAAATATATTAACTATAAAATAAAGTTGAGAATATTGCATTTACTACATCTCTACTTATATGGGGTGGGAAAAATCAACCTAAGCAGATATAATGTATGGGTGTGTGTGTGTGTGTGTGCGCGCGCGTGCGCACACACGTGTGGCTATCTGTATGTATACATGTAGTATATGTACAACTTGCATATCCCTATTACTAAAACAGGAATATGGAATACATGGGAAGTTAACAGTTTTTGTATGCATTTTGGTATCTTTGAAAACTAGCAATGCAAAAAGCATTTTCTGTGCAGCAATGGTTTTACCCAGAAAGATTTGTTTCTTGTACTTGTTTAATAAAATGCTGTTTGGCCAGTAGCCAGGCAGGTGGTGTGACCAGGCTGAAAATAGAGGTGGGACAATGAGAACAGGAGAATTCTGGGAAGATGAAAAGTCAGTCTGCAGTTGTCAACAGACACAGAGCAAGTAAATGAGAATGCCTCACTGAAAAAGGTACCAAGGTGTATGGCTAACACAGAAAAGAATTATGGGTTACTGTACAATGTAAGAATTAGTTATTACAAAGCCTGAGCTAATTTGTCAATCAGTTTATAATTAATGTAGACCTCTGTGTGTTTTATGGGACTGAACGGCTGTGGGACCAGGAAGGACAGAAATCTCTGTCAACAAGTATCAGAGGAAAAAAACAAATTCTGACAAATAAGTTTTTCATTACAAGTTCATTATAAGTTTACCACAACAAAGAATTTCAGCATTTATTTAATAATATAAGAACAAAAGGTATAACAGAATCTATGACAGAATTTCAGGTCTTATATTTCTGTTAAATAATGTAACAAATTTAATAAACTATCATGCTTTTCTACTAAAATGAGTTCATGTTTTCATTATAATTAAAATTATCTAGCCCCATGCTCCATTCCACATGATTCAAAACAGAGAGCTTGCTATACTGCCGAGTGGCCTTCTTTAACTTCCTGTGGATAGCACTGTGGCTGGCCTCAAATTCATCCTTTTCCTCCACTCTTCCCAGTCTTAGGATTATTGGCATGCAGCTCTAAGTTTAGCTTGACTTTCCTTTTAAGTTTAAAACTCTTGTAAAATCTTCAGAGTCACTTCATGGAACTCTGAGGGCATGGAAAGCATAGTAAGTCACCTAAATATTCTCTTTGAACCTTAAAAATAAGCCTATTCTCAGAACTCAAGAAACATTAAATGACCTCCATAGTAGGGTATGAAATTCTTTCCAATATCTTGTGTAAAAATATTTATATCTGTGGCATTTATTGTTAAACTTTATTATTAAATTACATACAACACTTGTGATACTTTCAATAATGTAATTTTTCTGTTTGCAGACATTTTAATTTTAAACACTGGAATACTAAGAAACAATAAAAAAACTTTACATTTTACTTACTTGTTCTTGTTGTGCTTAAATAATACATTTCAGTCAAACAGTTTACTATCTGATTAAGATTCCTTACACAGCCAAAAGCCAAGGCTACGAGTAGTTCAAACCCAGCATTAACTGTAGTTGGTGAACCACAGACTGGAACAGCTTGCTTGGCTGGCAGTTCTCCACTACTCATATATTGGAGGTAAGCTTTAGATGCAGGAAAGATGAAATCATCAATTAGTTCCTAAGGAGTTAAAAAAAAGACATTGTCCATTATTTTATATTTTATATTTATTACATTATAAATATATTTTTAGAAAAACAAATCTCTTATAAGAAATTACTTTTGTAATTTGACATTTAACTACTTAACTCAAAAAGCAGTTTCAGAAATCCTAACAAGACATTAATAAAACAAAGTAATTAATGAATACCAATTTTCTAGACAAAACAAGTGACGAATCATATACTAACTTTAAGTTCATTTTAAATATCAACAAAATACATCCCAGTTATACAAAGCACAAAAAAGATCACCAAAAACCAAAAAAACAAAACAAGTATTTTAAGAAATTCTCACTGTCAACACAATCCTGGGAAGAATTCAGATGTAGCAAACAGCAAATCTTATACAGCTGCTTAGTGATCCTATATTCTATCTGTATTCTTTTGTATAATTATGTTTATTAACAGTTATGAGCACCCTTTTTATTATCATCTCTTGCAGCAAAGGTCTTGGGAAAGAACAAACCAAGAGTCACTGAAAACTGTGTGTGATAAAATCCATGACATCACTAACCCTGTTTCCCATATGTCCCCAGAAGATAGTCATTAAATGAAAAAAAAATCACAGCATATTTTTGGAAAAGGAGAACACAGAGGCACCCAAATGATAATGATAGTCCATTTGGGGGTGGAACAAGAAAGTTTGGAGTAAATACACTGTATACATGAATGAAACTATCAAAGAATAAAAGATTAAAAAAAATTGCAAAGTAATTCAAAACTTTAAAAATTAAGGATTTTATTAAGATAAAGTTTTTTAAAAGATAGGCTTTTTACAAGAATTTTTTAAAGAGAAAAAGAGAAGGAGAGAAGAAAAGAGGAAGAGGGGGAGAAGAGAAGGGGAGTGGAAGGGAAAGAGAAATAACAAACATGGGTGAACAGAAAGCAGGGAAATCAAAACATGCAAAAATATTTTAATAAGAGAAAAATAATAAAAGCTGGCTTAAACTTCAGCTTAACAAAAAATATTATTTTCAAAGATATAGCCTATTAATGAGTTTTATCAAAAACATGGTAACATATGAAGTGTTTCAACAGTTTGCTTTTTCTTCCTTTGGATAAAGAACTCACTTGTGTATCCTTTTGGATGACACGGAACCTTGCCTACCTTAGCCTCTGGAATCCTAGAAAGAAGCATATGTGTCCTCATGTTGGTGAATAGTTCAGAATTACAATTTAAAAATAAGGAGTTGAAGAACATGGTTTAGTAGGTAAAAATAATCTGATTTCAAAACCCTAGAACCCATGTAAAAATGGGCGCAATATTAAGCATCTACAATCCAAGATTTACTAAAGCGTGGACACGCAGAAGAGGACAACTCCAGGAAGCTTGTAGGTCATCTAATGTGGTGTATTTGGTGGTGAATAACAAGGAGTCTCAATTTCAAACAAGGTGGAAGGCTACACATCTACCCCAGTATGCACACACCTGCACTTATTCATACAAACACACACAAAAGCAGTTGAATTTAGAACTTACTTTAACAAGATTAGTACCTCCTTTTTCACAACCAATATGGTATTTTTTCTCTGGAGTTTGAAAGGCTAGTAACTCTTTTGTTACTCCAAGATGGCCTTCCAAGATCGGATCTTCAACACCTGCTTCACCTGAGTCTTTAACACAATCCTACCAAAGAAAAAAATAATACCAGTCTAACCTATGAGGATAAACAAAGGGGCAGGAAGTCACAATTAAAAAAAAAGCTCTAAGAATGCATGTATAATTTCTCTGTACAGATAGTTATTTTGAAGTTATACAATCCCAGGGAAAGAGAAATTTCTATGGCAACAATTAGAATTTGAGGTCACAACTGTCCTTTAATATTATAAAATATAAACAGGGCGGCTAGATAACGAAAATGGGTTATCTAGTACCAAACAAAATAATGCTGGTTCAGTTAACTTTCAGCATTTTAAGGCTTTACATACTAATAGAATAATGCCTATTTTAATGACAAAATTTTGAACTACAGATTATATAAAATATATAATTTGGTAAATTTAACATTCTGAATAAAAATAAACTAAGAATAATACCAGTAACATAAAAAATTCAGTGTAATTTGTAATCAGTGTAACACATTAGGTTTAAATAGCATCTGGGAATTGTTGTAAGATCTTGCCTTAAAAGAAAAACACCCCTATCAAACCTAAGAACCAACATATGCCCTAAATGGTAGCACTGTAATTCGCAAACAGGCCAGTAATACCAAAATAGATATAATCAAACAGCAAACTAACAAGTTTCAAATTCATTTAAGCAAAATAAGATGTGTTTTCTGTAAGTCAACTCCAAGAAACAACAGTTTGTCTTTGTAAAATTTTTGTTGGATATTTTAAATAGTATTTCATAATGCTCATACTTATTTCCTACTTTTGAGTGTTGAAATTAAAGAGAATATGATCATGTCTAGTTTGTTCACTTTTGTCTTCAAAGCAGAATAAAATCTCAAAGTTTTAAAACCTCTGAAATCGTTAATCTTCGTTATCAATTTTCTTGGATTCAGAAGTGTCCAAAAGTGTGAGGTTTTGCATAGAAGAAAGTATGTCCTGAATAACAACTTTAACATTCTATAGGATAGAAGACTGAATGAAATAAGTGCAGAAACAAGAAATCCACAAACAGACATTTTCTCTGCTTTAAAGCCACCAGTAGATGTGTGGGCTATGCAACATACTCATACTAACACAGTAGTTCATCTTGTCTCAGACACAAGAAAATGAATGACTGTGGCACACTTCAACTGAAATTTCTAAAATGGTGACCAAAACTCATCGATTCCTCCCTAATTTTCATAGCAAACACATTCTGCTTTAATTACAAAAAGCTAACATATCCTTCCTTTAAAGTTAATTTAATAATAAAATAATCTGAATATTATTCATCTTACCCTAACCCTTTTGAGCCAGTCAATTTCATCACTAAGAAGAACATCAGCATTGGGTACAAGAACACTGCAGTTGTAAGCATGAGTGAGAAGACGCCTCAAAAGTGTGAAGTATTCTTCTGAATATTTCCCCCTTTCTGTTGTGACACTCTGAAATATTAACAAACACAAACTAAAACTGTGATCATTAATGACTTATTTGCCAAAAAAAGTCTTAATGTTTGTAATATCATATCTATTCCTATGGAACATGAACTAAATGAAATAAAAGTTGTAGTTTATCTTTGAATATCTCTCATTTTTAAGAATAAATATATTGACAGTTCCACTAAAATTGTCTCACCCCCAGAATGGTAAAGAGTAGAGTAATGAAGAACATCAGAGGTTTATGTCCCATGCAACATCTGGTACACATTAAGAAGAACTGCTCCTGTGCCAACTGCCGTATAGGTCTGTAATAATATAAGGCAACAAATATACATTAACCCTTAATTAGTAGCAAATAAGGAGTTTAAGATATTTGCAGAGTTAAATCTCCTAACATTTATATAAAAGATAAATACTGTGATAATTTACAACTTACAATCTATTAAAATATAAGTATTACAAGTCAAGGATGGTGTAGAATTATGTAAAAGAGAGGCACAAAAGAGTATGAATAGATTTTATTTCATTAAGAAGCAACCCGACCCAGAGGAAGCAATCTTCACCAGACCCAGAGTGGGACAGAACCATCTGCTAGGACAGAAAGCGAACAAGCTCCACCGGAGAAAATCCAGTCCTGGGACATTGGCAGACCAGGATTGAGCTAGCAATCTGACCCAGAGACAGCCATCTCCAACAGAACAGGTACAACTGCAAACCAGGGACTTCTGCAGGAGGGGGATCCAGACCAGGATTTACAGAAGCAGGTCAAAGCCAGCAACGTATGCCAAAGTAGGCCTGAGACAGAAAACTCCAAGGGAGCAGAAAAAAAAGCACAGGAGAACTGAGCTATCTCCAGGAACACCAAGTAACCAATAGGGTAACTAGAACTGTGACTCTGAGAGTACCACGAGGAACAACCATCTAAACTTTGGACTCAAAGGCACCTAGACGATTATTCAACAGAATCTCAGACATCTCCAACCACACGCACTAGAGGAAAAGATCAGTAGAAAAGGTAAGATCACACGCTAAAACACAACACCAGTAAAACCTACAGACCCTACAGCAGCAAGACCTAAACAACCAAATATAGATAAACCAGAAAAAATAACCTAAAAAAAATAACTTCAAGAGAATGTTTGAAATTCTTAAAAAGGAAATGAGAAATTCCCTTAAAGAAATCGAGGAAAAGACAAACAAAAAATTGGAAGATATCAGCAAATCACTTAAAGAAATGCAAGAAAAAGAAATCAAACATGTGAAAGAAACTATTCAGGATTTGAAAACTGAAATAGAAACAATAAAGAAAACACAAGCTGAAGGAATTATAGAAAGAGAAATCATGAGAAAAAGATCAGAAACCACAAACGCAAGCATGAACAGCAGAATACAAGAGATGGAAGAGAGAATCTCAAGTGCTGAAGAAACAACAGAGGAAATAGACTCCTCAGTTAAAGAAAACATTAAATCTAACAAAAGCTTAACCCAAAATGTTCAGGAAATATAAGACACCATGAAAAGGCCAAATCTTAGAATAACAAGTATAGAAGAAAGAAAAAAAATATTCAACTCAAAGGCACATAAAATTGATTTAACAAAATCATAGAAGAAAACTTTCCCAACCTAAAGAAAGATATGCCTAAAAAAAAAAAGAAAGAAAGATATGCCTATGAAGATAGAAGAAGCTTACAGAACACCAAAAAGACTGGATCCAAAAAAAAAAGTCCGGTCGCCTCATAATAATCAAAACACTAAACATGAGAGTAAAGAATATTACGAACTACAAATAAGTTACAAAGTAACATATAAAGGCAGACCTATCAGAATTACACCTGACTTCTCACTGGAGACAATGAAAGTGTTATGCAGACATTGAGAGACCACGGATGCCAGCCCAGACTATTATACCCACCAAAACTATAAATCACCATAGAAGAACAAAACAAGATATTCCATAAAAAATCTTGATTTCACCAATACCTAGCGACAAACCCAGCCCTTACACAAAATACGAGAAGGAAAACTTCAACCCAAGGAAGATGGCAATCATCGGTCATTAAAATTCCTTAATGTAAATTGACTCAACTCACCTATAAAAAGGCACAGGCTAACAGATTGGATACAAAAACAGAATCCATCCTTCTCTGCATATAAGGAACACATCTCAACCTCAAAGACAGACATTGTCTCACAGTAAAGGGTTGGGAAAAAATATACCAATAAAATGGTCCTAAGAAACAAGCATTTGTAGCTATCCTGTTATGTAACAAAATAGACTTCAAGCTAAAATCAGTCAAAAGAGACAAAGAAGGTCATTTCATATTAGTCACAGGAAAAATCCATCAAGAGGAAATCTCAATACTGAACATCTATGCCCTGAATACAAGGGCACCCTGATATGTGAACGAAACCCGTCTAAAGTTTAAATCATACATCAAATCCTACACAGTAATAGTGGGAGACGTCAACACTCCACTCTCACCACTAAGCAGATCAATCAAAAAAATGAACCGAGAAATAACAGAACTAACAGATATTATGACACAAATGAACTTAACAGATATTTATAGACTATTCCATCCAAACATAAAATATACCTTCTTCTTTCAACCTAATGGAACCTTCTCAAAAATAGACCACAGTAACAAAACAAACCTATAGAAATACAAAAAATTGGAATAACCCAATGTACCTTATCAGATAATCATGGTTTAAACTAGAAGTCAAAACCAATACTAATTCCAGAAAACTCACAATAATAGAAGTTAAATAATGCTCACCTGAATCATCAATGGGTCAAGGAAGAAATAAAGAAAGAAATTAAAGACTTCTTAAAATTCAATGAAAATGACCAAACAGCGTACCCAAATTTATGGGACACAATGAAAGCAGTGTTAAGAGAAAAGTTCATAGCACTAAATGCCAACATAAAGAAGCTACAAAAATCTCACACTAGAGAATTAATAGAACATTTGAAAACTTTAGAACAAAAAGAAGCGAACTCACTAAACAGAACTAGATGGCAGGAAATAATGAGAGCTAAAATAAAAACAAACAAACAAACAAAAAAAGATACAAAGAATCAGTGAGACAAAGAGCTGGTTTTTCAAGAAAAATCAACAAAATTGACAAACCCTTATCCAAACTAACCAAAAGGCAGAGAGAGAATATCCAAATTAACAAAATCAGAAATGAAAAGGGGGACATAACAACAGAAACAGAGTAAATACAGAGAAATCATTAGGCCGTATTTCGAAAGCCTGTACTCCACAAAATTGGAAAACTTAAAAGAAAGAGAAACTTTCTGGATAAATATTCCTTACCAAAATTAAATCAAGACCAGATAAGCAAATTAAACAGACCTAAAACTGCTAAAAAAAAAAATACAAACAGTCATCAAAAGTCTTCCAACGAAAAAAACAAGCCCAGGACCAGATGGTTTCAGGTCAGAATTCCACAAGACTTTCAAAGAAGAACCAATACTCCTCAGATTATTCCACACAATAGAAACAGAAGGAACATCGCCAAACTCTTTTTATGGATCCACAATTACCCTGATACCCCCAAATCACACAAAGACATTACAAAGAGAATTACAGACTAATCTCACTCATGAACATTGATGCAAAAATACTAAACAAAACACTGCCAAATCCAACCCAAGAACACATCAGAACCATCATCCACCATGACAAAGTCGGATTCATCCCACAGATGCAGGAATGGCTCAACATATGAAAAACTATCAACATAATCCACCACATAAACAACTGAAAAATAAAAAACCACATAGACATCTCATTAGATGCTGAAAAAAGCATTTGACAAAATACAACAACCCTTCATGATAAAGGTCTTGGAGAGAGCAGGGATACGAGGAACATACCTAAACGTAATAAAGACAATATATACAATGGAGTACTACACAGCAGAAAAAAATACGACATCTTGAAATTTGCAGGAAAATGGATGGAACTTGAAAACATTATTTTGAGTGAGGTGGACACAGACAAAGATAGACAATTATCACATGTACCCACTCACAGGTGGCTTTTAAACATAAAAGAAAGCCGGATTACCAACATCAATTCCAGAGAACAATGAGGACACTAAGAGAGACTTACATAGATCCAATCTACACGGGAAATAGAAACTAGAAAAATACAATATCTCCTGAGTTAATAGGAAGCATGGGGGACCTAAGAGGAAAGGTTGAAGAAGTAGGGGAGAGGCAGGGAGGGGAGCACAGAAAAATGTAGAGCTCAATAAATATCAATTAAAAAAGCATGGTGGTGATATTTATATTGATTGTAGATGACATGGTGTGTATCTTTAATTGATATTGTATAAAATAGATGGTACTATATCTATAAATGTATCTTTATATAAAATCTGGAAAGTTTGTGCTTGTCATTGTGAGTTTGGAAGGGTGGTATTAATGAGTACCTTCAATAAGACCAATGTGTTATAATAATCTGGGTCTCAGAATCAGTGTACTATCCTTGTTTGGTCCTTCATAATAAAAAAAAAATCTCAAGATTCACCCAAAGATCCACAAATTCACAGGACTCTCCCACATTATTAACAACATTTCCACTCAGACCTATATACATCCACCCTCTGGATGGAGCTAGAAGCGCACTGTAACAGCCCAGTGGTCTTCTGTCTATATGATTTTATTTCATCCAAACTTTAATGTTCAGACCCAACTGAGGTCCGCAACTCTTCTTTCCCAGCCTGTT